TTTCTTCAGCCTCAAGCTGGTCCTGAGATAGCTGTGTTGGCGCAGGTAAAAAGCTGGTGAGCACCATCTTCTTCCGCTTCTTCTAGCGCGACGGACTGCACTGCCCGTGGATGTTTCGCTGAGACTGAGGATCTAAATCTTAATGCAAGGTCATTGTCCATCTTCCTCCTATAGATTTGAACCACCGGAAAAGCACAGCATTTTAGTTACTTGTGCAATACACTGTAGATTTTGCCACAAGAACTCTTAGAACTGTTATAAAACAAAAATAATGGCACATAAAAACAATAACATGCTATGACAGGTTTGGAAGCAGGAGTAGCATTTACTTCCTAAATAACATGCCTCCGGAAACTCTATGAACTTTGATAAATGTCGATAGTTGTAGAGGAGCTTCAGGCCTTTTGTTCATAGGGTCACTATGAGTCGTGCTCAGCTTGAAGGCAATCAACAAGAAAACAAAAATATACCTCTTTGAAAGACACCCCAAAATTATGTGCCTCTTGATGGAAGTATACAACTTAACCTATGAAGGTAAAAAAAAAAAAAAAAAATCAAGCCTGAATCGGGTCAGGAGAGAGAAACATGATAAACAACAACATAGGAATGAAATCAGCAAAATCTAGACTACAGGAAACTATAGGGTACAATCCGTATCTTCATCAATAATAGATTCGACAGGAGAAAATGAAGACGAAAAAAGAAACAGTAAATAAGCGTTTTAAAAGATATAGTAACAAATTGCGATGGACTTTCTTAAGACGCCAAAACAAAATTATTTATGTGATACTGGAGAAAATTTAAATACTGACTGTTGGATAATATTAAAGATTATTGGGTTTTAACTTTTTTTAGCTAAGAAAATAGTATTGTGGTTGATCTTTTTAAAGTTTCTGTATTTTAGAGAAACATACTCAGATATTTCCAATTCAGTTAGATCAAAGACTATAGCTTTGATTTTATGTCAACATAAAATGCCTCGTAACTGGACAGCTATGACATGGTAAGTGGAGAAAAGATTGAAGTTGCCAGTGATCCACTTCAGTCCACAGTCAGCACTCATGAAAGCAGTAGTGAGTATCAAACGTTTATTTTGCAGTGGACTGATCTGCTTTGAAGGACCTCTTTAAAGAGCTGAAGAACAAGGATGCCTCTTTAAAGACTGCAGTGCACCTGTGCCGAGCCATGATATTTTCAGTTGTTTAATGAGCATGTGAAAGTTGTACAGTGAATGAAGAAGATGAAAAATCGGTGCTTTGGAATTATGGTAGTGATGAATAATAAATTTCAGAATCATCTCAGGAGCAGGTTTGAGGCCTTGAACACTAATGAGCGAAGACCAGATGAGTTGTGGGAGGATGTTAAATGTATCATCCAGAAAGAGTGCACTGGAACGTAGAGAAGCCAAAGCACAAGGAAGAATCCAAGACACTAAAGAGCTGAACAGAAGATTCCAAAAGGCAGCACGGAATGACAAAGCAAAATACTACAATGAAATGTGCGAGGAGCTAGAGTCGGA